TGCACAAGGTCAATCTCGACCTCATTTTTCCATGGGTAGTAATTATGTTGAGGTAATATTTCATATTGTTTGTTTTTTAAAATGAAAATGCATTATTAATTTTTTTTCATTTCACTTATTCTTTTCCTTTATGTTAGTTTACTTTAGGGTGTTTACACTCCACAAGGTCAATCTCTACCTCCTTTTGCCATGGGTAGTAATTATGTTGAGGTATTATTTCATATTGTTTGTTTTTTAAAATGAAAATGCATTATTAATTTTTTTTCATTTCACTTATTCTTTTCCTTTATGTTAGTTTACTTTAGGGTGTTTACACTCCACAAGGTCAATCTCTACCTCCTTCCGCCATGGGTAGTAATTATGTTGAGGTAATATTTCATATTGTTTGTTTTTTAAAATGAAAATGCATTATTAATTTTTTTTTCATTTCACTTGTTCTTTTCTTTATGTTGGTTTACTTTAGGGTGTTTACACTCCACAAAGTCAATCGCGACCTCCTTTCGCCATGGATAGTAATTATGTTGAGGTAATATTTCATATTGTTTGTTTTTTAAAATGAAAATGCATTATTAATTTTTTTTTATTTCACTTATTATTTTCTTTATGTTGGTTTACTTTAGGGTCATGGTCGTACAATCTATATTTCTCAATCTCAATCCCAATCTCGACCTGAATCCCTATCTCAACCTCTCTTTGCCATGGGTCGTACAAGTGTTCATCATGTCATGTATCCTACATATGATGTGAGTTGTAATTGCTTACATACTTTACATTGAAATGGTAGTATAGATTCTATAAATATTTTAATAAATGTATCACTATTGCAGGGAAATAACACACCTCAGTCAATGCCTTTAGTGTATCCCACTCAGACATCGTTTCAGGAGTTGCTTCGAGGTACTAGTGTTCAACAATTTGCAGCCCAACTGTCGCAAGCCTCACATAGTCTTGCTGATAGTCATGTGGGTAGTATAGATTCTATAAATATTTTAATAAATGTATCACTATTGCAGGGAAATAACACGCCTTAGTCAATGCCGCCTCATTCAATGCATTTAGCGTATCCCACTCAAACATCGTTTCAGGAGTTGCTTCGAGGTACTAGTGTTCAACAATTTGCAGCCCAACTGTCGCAAGCCTCACATAGTCTTGCTGATAGTCATGTGGATGGACATCTCTAGAAGGCTTGCACCGAACGATGATGTTATTATATTTGTGGATTTGGGTGTATTTTTTTATGTTTGGTGGGATTTGGATATTTTTTATTGACATCTTTTTTATGTATTTTTAATATTTGGGAACAATGTTCTTTTGTTGATGTGGTGGCCTTAACTTTAGAAGGCAAACTACAGTTTCATGAAATTGTGTGTATGCATATATAAAGTTCTTATTATTTTCATCTAGAATGCCTTTATTGTCAGGATCACATTAATGTTTGTTTTACTCAATATAAGCATGTGGTTGGTGATTAGAGAAGTTGGACAGGTTAAATTCCTTGTGGCACAGGCTCAATTCAAGTGGTACAGGTTCAATTATTTGTTGTTTCTACAAGCAAGCTTTGCCTTCATTTCCTATATGTTTGCTTGTCTGAACATGTTACTGTTTATCAGCATGGAGAAATGTTTAGGAGTTGATTTTGTTGACTGATGGTGAGGTGATACAGGATGTTGGAGTGATCATATAACTTGTTATTTGGGAAGCTTGCTTTGAGATGCCTCTTTGAGGATTACTTTGAAGAAGCTAGGCATTTTATGATTTAACACTAAAATCCATGAAAGAATTGTAGTACAGTTCCCTGTGTAAAGGATTGATCATCCATCATGCAACATCATATTCACTTTGTGCTCACATAACATCATCGTCACTTTCTTTTCATAGCATCAATCTTCATACATCATATACATAACACCCAATTTCATTAATTAACACAATTGGCATAGCATAATAACTTCATTAATTAAACATTGTTTGGATTTTACATGCACATATAAAAATTTCAAAACTAAATACAAGTTCTACAAGTAGTGGTTTACACTCAGTAGAAACACAGGTTCACTTGAGCAGCACCACTAGCATGGTAAAACCAACCATCACTATGGTTGTCAACATCATGAATTTGATAGCTTCAAGTCGTTCTCGTTGGTTTGCCTCAAGTCGTTTGAAGATATTCATAACTTCATTGTTTCTCGCAAAATCATAATCATACCCGCTCTTTTGGATATTTGATCCATTCCCAGTAGAAGCCACTCCCCACGCAAAGTAGTCACAAGCCTTATTTGCACACTTGAAATACAACTTCCCTGGATTTTTCTCCGATTCTGATATGTACACTTTTGTTTTTTTTCCCACATTTGCATCTTTTATTTTGAAAGAATCCAGCATCATTGTTTGAACTTGTTGACATGTCAATCCTAACTACAAGTAAACACAAAAGTCAATTTCAAATGCAACATCAATCTAACCACAGTTGAAGTTAAGAGATGTAGGTAACAAGCACGTAGACAATCCAGTCAACATCAGTTCATAAGTTGATGTTAATCCTACTCACTTCAGCCAACATCAGTTCATAAGTTCATATTACTTCATCAACAACTAGCAGACAAGCATAAGTTGCAGACAGACAGATCAGACTCCTTTGGAGAAGCTAGTAACTAATAAAAATGTTGTTGTAAATAATAAACAAACAGATCTAACTCCATTGGAGAAGCTAGTAAAATGGAGTCAGAATCTAAATAAAAAATTGATTGATGCTAGTCAGGATGTGTATACACCCCATTTTTGACCGTCCTCAAGACTTAGACGTCATCGTTTGAACACTCGATGATCATCCATGCTCGTGTTCGTTTTGAGTTCTCGGGGGTCTCGGCTACGCGCCTTGCCTCAAGATCTCTTAACTTATCTGTTTTATGCTTGGTTGTGGACCAAGCACTTGGGTTTTTGCCTCTGAGGGCAGGGAATGGCTTGTTGGCCGTCCCCACACCTCACCGGCCATGGCTTGAGGCCACCGGCCCTGTTTTCTTGCTACCGACCAAAGGTATTGGCCGGTCGGCAATGTTTTTGGTCGGCCGGCCATTGTTTTGATCTACCGGCCACTTTTCTGGCCGAGACCTTTTCTTAAGGAGGTTTGAACCTTTTGAACCCTTGTTTTAGCTTCTTGAGGAAGCTTGAACCTTTTGAACCATTGGTTTTAGCTTCTTGAGGAAGCTTGAACCTTTTGAACCTTTGTTTTAGCTTCTCCAAGAAGCTTGAATCTTTTTAGCTTCTCCAAGAAGCATTGACCCTTTTGCTCTAACTTCTCCAAGAAGTTTGACCCTTTTGTTTTGGCTTCTTAGAGAAACTTGAACCCTTTACTTATCTTCTTGAGGAAGCTTGACCCCTTTGCTCTAGCTTCCTCAAAAAGCTTGGCCCTTTTGCTTAAGAGAAGCTTGGCCCCTTTTCTCCAAGCTTCTCCAAGAAGTTTGGACCTTTGTTCCTCTATAAAAGAAGAGCTCATCTTCCATTGCAATGGTTCCAAAAATTTTGCTAAGGCAAACAATATATATCTCTCTATATCTCTCTATTTTGAGCTCCAAATTGCTTGGTTCTTGGCCCCTTTGCACACCAACTCTTAGCCTAACACCTCCATCATCAACCTAAGCATCTTGGAGGCCATTTTCAGAGGCTAAGGGACTGGTTTTTGGTCCAAGAACCTGCTGATTTCGCAGCTGTGCATCAAGGGTTAGAAACACCCTCTTTATTCCCCATTTTTGCATAGACTTTTAGCGTATCTTGCATGCTGTTTTGAGCTTAACTTATAACTAATAAAAGTTTTGTTTTTGCATGATTTTGAAGTTTGTTTAAGATCACTTTTGTGTTTGGGGTTGTTTAGCCCTCTTAAGCCTTGTTTAGCCTCATTTTTGTGCCTTTTTTGTGAGCTTCGAGACCACCTTGTATTGGTCCTCTCACCACTGAAATATGGTGTTTTGAGGTCCTAATAAGGAAAGGGGTGATCCTCTCCTTTGTTGTCTTGTTTACTAGCATATTTGGCCTTCCAAAGGGGCCTATATTTGTACACTTCTTGAGCATGTTTCAGGCCTTTTCCAGTGAGTTTTAGGGCCTGCATAACCCCTTTCCAGAGTTGGTTTTGCCATGTTAGATGTCATTCTTGCATGTGTAGAACAACCCCTTGCATGGCCTTCCAAAGGGGCACCTCATTCTAGCATGTATTGGACACATTTTAGTGGGTATTTGGTCATATTTTGGCATGCCATGAATCTTTTTTTTGCTGGTTTAGTGGCCCCTTGAATGCTTCATATACATGTAGTGTAATCCATGCTTACTAGCCTATGTTGCATATTGTTTTGGCCCTCTATTCTAGCATGTTTTGGCCATACTCCAAACATGTTTTGTTCATATTTTGGGCCACCTTAGCTCTGTTTTTAGGCCTCTTGGTCGATTGGTGCTTGCCATGCATGCTTGTAGTGTAATAGCCATGCTTAGCTTTGAGTTTTGAAGCCTATTGCATGCTTATATCGAGGTGTTTGCATGTTTTAGTATCATTGTGTATAATATTTCAAAGCTGATACTTATGCCATACTCCCCTATTTTCCATGCTTTAAATGTGTTTGAGAGTTGTGCTTGTATGCCCCATTTATGAGCCTTTGCATGAGCTTCATTTAAATGCATTTCGAGCCACCATCTCATATCATTTTGCCACTGTTTTAGGGCTGCATAAGGTCTGTTTGGAGTTGGTTTCATCATTTGAACATAGCTTTGCATGACTATAGTGTAATGCACTTCACTAGTCTTTGGTGTTTGAGCCTTCTAGCATCCATAGCATGAGTGTTTGCATGCTTCGGAGTCATTTTGGAATCATTTAGTATGTCATTTCAGAGCTGGAATGTATGCCATTGTATGCCATGTTTCATCCTTGCATTACTCTTGGAAAGTTACATTTTGAGCCTTAGGCTTGGAGCCCTTGCATTGTGCATGTTTGCATGAATCTTGGGCCTTGTTCTCATCTCATATGGCCACTGATTTAGACATGGCTGAGGCTTGTCCATATTAGTTTAAGTCCATCTTTTGTATGTTACTAAAATGTTGTTACATTGCTTCATGTTTGCATGTTTTGGTTGCATCATGTCTTGCATGCTCATTGTTTGAATATTGTCACATGCTTGCATGTTTGCATGTCTGTCCACATGTTCATGTTGCATACTTAGTTCGCATGCTCAGGTTGCATAGCATATCATGCATCTCTTGCCTCTTGATCAAACCATGATAGAGGTTGGAGGCGTCTTGTTTGTTTTGTGTGCATTTCTTTTGACATTGAAATTGCACACTTTGGCTTCTCGGGCTATCATGCATTGAAATGCGTGATTGATGGCCCGAGGACCGAGGGCCACACTCCATTGAGTCTATAACATGATGGGGAGGGTGGTTGTGCAGACATTTGCTTTAAAAATGCATTGCCATGCCTTGTCTGTCCTCTGCTATTGTCAAACAGGGTTCTGTAGGAAAAAATAGCCGACCGACCACATTCAGTGCCGGCCGACCATGCATCGTTGGCCGAGAGCCTCACAATTGGTCGATGACCACTTTTCCATAGCCGGTGACCATCTCTCTTGGCCGGTAACATCCCACAGTGTTCAGAGAGTGTTCCAGAACCAACCTTGGGACTTGTGCAGTCTTCAGAGGTGCAGGGCAGTGTAAACAGAGGCAACTGTGGCATGGCAACGGGTTTTCGAGTGAGGCAAATCGAGCATGCATCATCCCATTATTCCGAGGCGGGGCTGCGGCCACCTTCCTCCTATAATTAATTAGAAGTTTTGTAATATTTAATTAGCTAGAGTAGTTAATTATTTATTTGGTTTGTATTATTTATTCGAACCCTTCGAGAGAGGGCAATGTTGTAATAAGTGTGCGTGAGTGTATGCATGTCTTCTAACCCCCCACTTCTTTCTCCCTTTTACTTACCTGCTTTTAATTATGTCTTCCAACCCCACGTCTTTCTCCTTTTTATTTACCAGCTTATGATGGTTAGATTAGGGCA